TTATTATTGTCGTTAGTGATTATCTCAATTTCGGCTAAAAGAATTGACAAAATCCTACACACTGTGCCTTTAATTTCACAAATGTGCAAACAGTAGCAATAGTTGCTAGCTCTAGCATTTCTGGTCAATTCTGAAGCACTTCCTGCAGTAATATCCTAACATTTCTATCAGAATRTCAATAAGTGAAATTAACAATGTCGTAAATGTTTATAAAATATTAGCATAACCTCTATTGCATCTTTTAAGATGGCAGCAATCCCAACTAGCCATTAGCTCATCAGTCCATACAGAAATAAACTCTGCTACAGCTGTTTCAATTGCTATCTGTAACAGGTAAGATATTAATTGCTCTTAACATTTTCACATTTCCTCACCTCTGCTGCCTTCTGCAGCTCTCTAGCCCACTCCATGATCCTCAGCTGTGCCTCCTCKTTTGGATCTTTATCTTCATTATTTTCATCTTTCTTGTCATCCTCCTGATGATCCAGGGTCAAGGGGGTCTCATTTAAAAGCTACCAAATTGGAGRGAAACAAATTGGGAATTCAGTTTTAGCCATCACTTTGCCCTCTCGTCTCCAGTATTTGAACACGTGATGGACGTATGAAGCCCCGGCGCTGACCTTGTCCACGTGTCGGAGCTCGTCGGCCCACTCCAGGATCAGTTTCCGGCTCTCCTCCAGGCTGCGTTCGGCGCGGCGGTCTGAGCTCTCAGCTTCTTTGCTGGCTCCTTCCCCGCCGTCCTGATGAGAGACGAGGAGATTTAGGCATGTTCGTGGYTCCAAATCAATCAAATGGTCACGTTAAATCAAATCGTCCACATGCAGARGTCTGAAAACTGTAGGATGAGTTCMGTTTGAGCCGTTAAGGTCACGTAGTGGCCTCGTGAACCCGCGTCCTATCAGCACTTATTGAACCAACAGTTTCATGTTGATTGTTCCGTTACAGCAGCTATAAATCAACCCGACGGATAAAGAACAAGATATCTTTAGACTTGCAGCACCTAATGAGGTTTAGCCTCTGACAGGAAATGTGGTGGGGAAAGTTTTGTCGTTTTTACCTTGCACACCTGGTCCACCTGCTCCTTCCAGTGCTGAATGAACTGCACACACTCCTGCAGGCTGCGCAGGTCCCTCAGGCTGTTGTGGCGCGAGTGCTGAAACACACCAGCTTCAGTCAGTTACAGCTCAAACCACCTGGATCACAGAGGAGAGGAGAGGGGGCTGGTCCAGCGCTTTTACCTGCGAGGGTTTTTTGGGGTTGCTGGCGTGCATGGTGGGGGCCGAGCTGTGGGCTTGGGCCRTCTCGTCGGGCAGCGTCCAGCGGACGGCCCCGATGGAGCTGCTCTGGGTGCTGCTCTCATCGCTCACCATCATATTCACCCCTGAGAGAAAACAGGACGTCTGTGAACCACTGGTGTGGAACAAGTGTCGACACCAGGACTCAGGGGGGCCACGGTCATGAGAAAACCATCCGCTCAGGGACATAAATTTGACTTCCGGTTTAAAATCTATTTTTATTTTAAAAATAGCTCAAGGGTGGACCGGACTGAGCTCACCCACGGGCCAGATGGGGCCCCTGAACCACCAGTTGAATTGCCCTGAACTACATTGTACAAACTAAAGATTAAAAATAAGGAATTTAAAGTAAAATAACAAACATATAAAAAGCAAATACTCATAATGATTTATTTAGAAACTYACGTTTGTTCCGTTTTAGGATGGGTTTCAGCTCAACGCCTTCTTCCTTACTCATGGCTGCAAAAAAAAATAAAAAATTATAAAAAGAACATTAAAATAATAAATGGAAGCTGTAAAACTTAACAAGAAACATCAAACATTTACTCTAGTTTACCTCCTTGTTTCACAAAAAATATCTTTCCTTCTTTAATATGAATCTAAAATTATRGAACATTAAAGGGTTTAATAGAATTTATTATAAAAATAAACAGGCAAAGATGCTAATAACCCTCAGCTAGGAGGGAGAGTGATTTGCATGTGAGTCCAATAAAGTTTAGACTTTTTAGATTAAATAAATAAAAAATCCCAGTCACTACTTTACAAAGTTTCTTAAGATTATTCTGACTTTTTTTTGTGTAATAATCTGAACTTTTATAGAGCATCAACATATAAATATCTACATATTTTTTTCCCTAAAACACAAACCTATTAATTAAAGACAAAAGCTCAAACAATAAATTATAATAAATAACAATAAACCCTTCACTGCCTGATTGAATCACCCATATGAGTGTCTCACCTGCTGTGTGGGGGAGCAGAGGTGCACGTCTGTTGGTTGAAGACAAGTGGACAGCGTCCTCTGCTCGTCTGATCTTTTTGTCTCCTCCTGGTCCTGCCTCCTCCTGGACCTCCCTGATCTTTGGACCCTTTTATGGCCCCATGAGGTGATGAGGGGGAACTTTACAGAGAGGTGGCTGACACGGAAACAGCAGCAGCTTCCTTGTAGCGGCCTGCGGTGTCACGGCGAGAGCCGGCAGGCAGGAGGTGAGTTTATTGGCTCCTTATCAGCCGGAGTGACGCAGAAAACTGGAGTTACTGTAAAGCAGCAGCAGACCTGCAGAGGGGTCAGGCTGTCAGGATGGCTGTGTCTGAAAGGCTGAAATTGCTCACGTAGTAAATATGGACTCAGATTGATCAGATTAGAGGATTAAAAAACACAGATTTGACTTAAACCTGTACCATTGTCCATCCAAGTCATCCAAGATCAAGTTTATAGATAWTGTGTAATTTGAAGTTCTTCTTACTTTTATCTTTCCATATTTCCAGTTTTTGGTTTTAATTCATTTTATCGGAGTTGATGTTTTAGTATTAAACTTCATTAATATGGCTTTAAATTACAGTTTTTACTGTCCTGAGAGCAGAATGAAGCCAACATTAAATGTTAAGTGAGACATTTCTGTGATTTAAATAAAATGAAGGACATAAAATTATATTATATTATTATTTACCTATAACTGTGATGTGTATTATTGTTTATTATATTTTTATTATGTTAGATTATGTTTTTTAAGGACCTGCTTGAAAATAAGATGGTACATCTCAACGGGTAATCCTTGAAATCAATCAATCAATAAATCAATGAGTAAAAACAACAAATTTAACATGAGTCTTGTGAAATGAGAATTAAAAATGAAGGTGAAACCTGATSTTTGTTTTGTTTTCACTCATTTTCTGGTCTCATACCTTTGATGGTGTGTTAGAATCAGAAAAATGTAGAGAATGAAACTGAAAAGTTGATATGAAGAGAAAAATGTCTAAAAGTCAGACCCAAGGAAGTGACTCCCCTCATTCTCCTGAACACTTCTGTATTAATTTAGCATCTTCTTCTTCCTATTATTATTATTATTATTATTATTATCATCATCATCATCATCATCATCATCATCATCATCAAGCTTTTGTTTTTGCTCACTTCAGTCATTTAAAACAACTTTAACTTTACAGAAGATATTTACGATCACAGGGTGAAAGCAAATGTGTGTGTGTGTG